CATGCATTTAGATCAGGCAAAAGAAGTTCTTGACCGCAATAAACTCAAATATGAACAGATCTGGAACCCTTGGACCCATTTATAAGCTCAATCCAATCAATGATATTTCTCCTGACCCTTTGATAAAAATGGAACATTCCCCTAATCTGAACCAGATACATTTCTCCTTTAACCCCCAAAACTTTGTGACATTCTCAGCACTCCTACTTTCTCCCCCCTTCCTGTTTTGTGACTCTACATTTACCGCTTTTGTGCTTTTCAGAGTTTCCCTCCTACTCCTCTCCATATGTGGTTACCCATGTAGTTGTAGTATTAAGTAATATATCTTCACACTTTTCTCCAGTTTCTGAAGACTATGCAGAAAGAACACAATGGAGAATAGATTTTGTCATCACATATGTCATGAACTAAGCAGACTGTTTATCAGTGCTTTACTATACCAAATATTTGTGCATAGTGGTTTAGTGGTTAGCACTCATGCCTTGCAGCACTGGGGTCCATGGTTTGAATATTGGCCAGGACAATATCTGCATGGAATTTGCATGTTGTCCCTGTGTTTCCTCCCACTCTCCAGTGACATGTGTTCTGTCCCCACATGAAGGCGAATGAAGGTATAACTGATAATGGCTGTGTAACTTCCTACCTTCGTATCCAAGCAGTGGAGCAGACCAGACCGGCAGATGCACAGGAATGAAATCAGCGTGGGTTTATTTGGTCCAAATACAGCGACAAACAGTGATACAATACTGTAAGGTAGTAGAGGTATTGATGCTGTCCTGTAATATCTTTCCTGAGGCTAACTGCTGGTCAAAAACTGATGCCTTCACAAGCCCAGGGTATTGAATGTCCTGTCACACAGCTATAAAGCACATAAAATGGCTGCAGGAAGTGACCAGAACCAAGGCTTGCCTAAAACCACGCCCAACAGAGAAAAAAACTTTACTAGCAAGAACAGAGGCATGTAGCATGCAAATTCTGGCCAGCAGATGGCAGCAACAGATCAAGACATAGAAACAAACGTGGTGAAATAAGAATTGGTGATACAATGCAGTTAAATAACAAATATGAGGAGAACACCACAACATGTTGGTATTTTCATTGGCTCCTGGCTAAAGTGACCCTAGTAAGTGCATACAGTTTGTGGTCATGCACGTTTAATCACATTCTCTCATACCCCAACCAAGCAATTGGGGTAAGGGTTGAGGAAAGACCTGGTGATCTACCTAAAAAAAAATTAAAAATGAAAAAAGGCTTTAGGTGTCCATGAGTTGAATATGACAACGTATACATAGAACTAATCTTTACTTACCGCTCTTCTTTTTCTATTAGAAAGATGGTATATAAACAATGTTATTTCAGGAATATGTAATATAAATGTGCAGCAAAATAGGAGTTAATCAGTGGGCAAACCCAGTCTCTCTCCAAAAAAGATGCACTAGTTTTCTTTACTCTGGTATTTCTTCTATTTTATTAATCCTGTGAAAAAGCAGCTTTCTGTCCCTTCATGTCTAAATTAATTTCTCCACGGTCTATAGAGGGAGCAGTGGTTGCCACCAAGGCTGGACTTGTCTGCCTTTTTTCATCTCCACTACATTGGGGTTTTATATATTTTAATGAGAAAGGCGACATTGTTTTTACCACCCATTCATCGACAAAGACAGTGCATTTCTAAAAAGATCAACAGGGATTTTCTGTAATGCCTGAAAAAACAAATACAGCTGTCACATGTTTGAGTTTTGGTCAATCAGCTTGCCACGTATCCAAATTGGATCAGTGATGGCAAAAGCATCCCCTTCTTTGTGCATGTGCAGCTGCAAGTTGTAGAATGTCCTTGGCGGTAGTTGGTTGGCCCTGCAATGACAGCTTACTTCTGAGTTCAGCTGAAGTTGGGTTCATATTGAACCCAAGCTGTTCACCATTCTTGGGTTTAGTTATGCTTGTGGTAAAACAGTATTACACCCAAAAGCAAACATTTAATTATATTGCAGCTTACCAATTCTTGGGTGACTGCATTTGTTTCTTTTTTAGACTTTTTCATCTGATGATTCAGCCAGCAACTATTTTTCAAAAGCACAAGCTCTCCAGCAGATTGCATCAGCTTACATGGATGTGTCAGGGATCGCGGCTACGAGTGGCTCCGCGCATGCGCAGAGCGCCGATCTATACTAGCCGGCGGACACTAGGACCTGGACGGCGGCGGCCACACATGTGCACTCGCGATCGCGGACGCTCGCCTGGCACTAATGGCAGGGTGCACTATTTAAACCTGCCCTGCACTTACAATCATTGCCGTATGGTCTTTATTCCTGTGTTCCTGTTATTTGAGATTCGTTGCTGACTTTGCCTGAACCTGACCTCTGCTGACTTCTCCTGCTCTGACCCCTGGCTAGTTTGACCTCTCTTCTGGATATTCCTAAACCTGATCTGAACTACTGGTACTGACCCCGGCGAGTGACCTGACTATTCTTCTGCCTGCGGCCTTATACTGCGCTGACCCCACTGTTACTGACCTGGCCCGTTTGACCACGCTCATCCATCCAGCACGGATACAGCCATCCCTGCTTCCGCCCTCTGCCTCTTCATGTCAGGCTTTCCACCTGCATAGATCCCCGACGGATTCCTCTACCTCAGGCAGGTGTACTCAGGGGCCGCGACCTGGCTCCTGTCTGCTCCAAGTCCATCCCCACCCTCAGGGGCCCTGGTGAATAAGCAGACTGGGGCTTAGACTCTGCGCTCTGGGGAATCCTGTCCTGTGGACTGCTAGAGGTACCGCCAGGCGGTTGCCAACAGGGTGACACAAACCATTTAACACTGGCAGGGGTACTTAAATGGTCAGCATTTACTTATTCATGTAGAACCTCTATCCCAAAAGGAAAAAAAAAAAAAAAGGTGTTTGTTATAACTGATTATAAAGTGTGAGCTGAAGTTTGGCTTCAATTTGTTAGTGTATTTAAATCTAATATATTTAACACTACCTTTCCTCACAGACGGACAATCCAGATGTGCCTCCTGTGCTCATTCATCCAGTGTGGTGTCTCACTAATACAGGAGACATGTTACTGGCCAGATCAACAAGTGAAAACAGAGGAAAAGACTTAATAAAAAAAAAAAAAAAAAAAAAAGGCAGGAGAGAGGGTTACAAGTTAAGGGACTGATTTTACCCTAGGGGGTCCTTTTAAATTTTTAGGATAGCTACAGATTTTTGACTCAGCAGTGTGTGCCCTACAAAAATTACCAGTAACACTCATACAATATACAGACATTATAATGTACAGATATTAAAGTGAGGACAGAGGAACAAACCCCCCACCCCCAAAAAAAAAGTTCATCCATTTACAGCTATGTAGGACTCGTTCTCACCATGGAGCAGAGATGTCAGTTTTTCTGCACGTGTTCTGCTAGAGCACAACAAAATCGATTGTTCTCTATGTGCCCTGTTCACACCACAACTTTAGTATCACGTGCAGGATTTTTTTTCTGCGCAGGAATCTGGAACGTGTATGAAACTCATTACAGTGCACATGAAAACTGATGTCTCTCCAAGGGAAATATGCGCGTCAATTTCCATCAGTTTTTTTTGCACGTATGGTGTTAACAAGGCCTAAAACAATCTGAACAACTAATCTATGAACATCTAACAATAAACTACATGAAGTGCAGCATGTATTTCATTTGAAGTATGCAAGACACATTTCTTAAGTAATTTTATTCATAAAATTTGGAAATATATAAGTTAAACAATCACACACATGTACACTTTATTACATATTCTTGGAGATCCTGATGAACACAGGGTTTGGAATAAGCTGTCAAATAAAACAATTTACAGAGTATAAAAAGGTTTGGTATGCAGCCAGCCCAGCAGGAAATTGTGAAAAACTTACAAGCTTCTGCATATTATATTATAATGTGTCACGCTCTTTAGAGTTAACACACACACCCAAGATTTGCATGTAAACAAGTGTGTTTAGGAGCTGCGTGGTGTTTTACAGTGTGTTCTCTGTGTCACCTGCCGCTTTCATTGGTATTTATTGCATCTTTTGTGGTTTTTACAGGTTTTATACAGCTCTATGCTGAAAGAGATCCATGCTGGACTCGTACAGAATATCTCACTCTGTCAGAGGATGGCCCAGGTGAAAAGAGGGAAAAAACAAAAAAAGCAAACAAAAAAGCAAACAAAAAAGCAAACAAAAAAGCAAACAAAAAAGCAAACAAAAAAGCAAACAAAAAAGCAAACAAAAAAGCAAACAAAAAAGCAAACAAAAAAAAAAAAAGATATGGTTGAGTTTTTGAGAAAGGATTGAATTCTCCCATTAATTAACTTTTCCTACAACCACCACTAGAGTTGTAACATCAAACCACTCCATGTTATTCCAAGACCTCAAACCTCTGGGGTCTAGAGCAACGCTTGGGCAGACTGGAATTTGGAAAAAAATAATATCCTTCTGATGGTATGGACACAGAATACATAAAAGTTAAGAATTATAGTTGAAACTAAGCATAGCTAGCATATTTTGAAACTGAATGTTTCCAGTTTACACAATTCAATTTGAAAGAGTATTATGCTTAAAAGTAATGCAATAGGTTTGAATAATGAAAAAAACCTAAAAAAGGAAGGTGGTCAGTGACATTCAAATCAAATAATGGACCAAGTTCATTGACATATGTACGGCCCAGTATGTGGGCGGAAGCACAAGTATAATATCTACTTCTGTTTTTGAAAAAAATGATTTTCATACATATAGGCCAGCAAACCTACTGCATTGTATTATACTATGTACATAGGCGGGTATAAGTACTTATAGTGCAGCTGAGATTTGTGTTCAACAAATTTTCAGAGTCCACAGAGTAAACAATGGAAAGAGCAGCAGGGTCTTCAATCAAGGAGTCTATGTCACAGCTCAAACACTATGCAAACCAATTGATGTCCATCCAATTTGGAAGCACAGGTGCACGTCCTATGAGTAAGGAGGCATGTTGAAGTAGGAGGATAGAGAATGTCAGCTCATCAAGGCCACAGTACTTTCATGCTGCCCTCCAAAGATCCCAGAGAAAAATTCCATAGCCAGACGAACATGGATGGGAATGAAGACGTAGGAACTGTATATTACCATGGCGATGGCCGTCAGTAAGATGGTGTTGAAGATGGACTTTTCCCAGGGTTCTAGGACATAGCTGCAGGTTATGAGCAGATACTGGTAGTACAGCCAGGACAGGTAATCTTTGATGTGCTTCACATCCATTTTAGGATTACAACAATGGATTCAACCCTGAAAAAATAGAAATACACTGTTAATGGAGGAGAATGTGTTATAGGGAAAGCCCAGTATGGATTTTCTACTGAGACAATGAGGCCTAGTTAAAGTGGTTGTAAACCCCTACATATATCCAGTGAAGTGACTGGCCTCAGGTGATACTAATAAATGAAACAAATCATTTTACAAAGTTCTACAAAGTCGCACATTTTCCAGTGCGACTTTGATCCAACTTTAAACAAACTGGATCAAAGTCACGTCAAATCATTCTACAAGTTGTACTTGTTTATTTACATCTAAAGTGCAACATTTACACAGAACCTCTCAACTCTGAAGAGCATGGGGCAGGGAGCTGAAGTTATACTTCGTGAGAGCTGATTAGAGGGAAGGGACACACTCCCCTTCACACTGCTCACAGGAACAGAGTTGAGGCTGTCAATCACCCTCCCCTGTCACCATTTTTCTCTTGGCGTCAGGAAAACTCATCAGAAAGGACAGTGAAGGAATGGGGCAGCAGACTGAATTGAGACAAGTACACACTATAGAGGATGTGCTTTGTTCATATTTGCACATCTGAGGTTTACAACCACTTTAACCACTAGCCTACAGGGCACTTATACCCCCAGACCAATTTCCAGCTTCAGTGCTGTTGCACTTTGAATGACAATTGCGCGGTCATGCAACATTGTACCCATATGAAATTTCTATCTTTTTTTGTGACAAAGCTTTATTTTGGTGGTATTTAATCACCTCTGGGTTTATTTGTTTTTAAACAAACCAAAAACCACTGAAAATTGTGAAAAAAAAAAAAAAAAAAAAAAAAAAACACGTTTTTTCTTAGTTTTTGTTATAAAATGTTGTAAATAAGTGATTTTTTCTCCTTCACTGATGTGCACTAATGAGGCTGCAGTGATGGGCACTGATAGGCTGCACTGATGGACACTGAAAGGCAGCACCGACTGGCACTGTTAGGTGGCACTGATAGGCAGCACTGATGCACACTGATAGGTGGCACTGACTGGCACTGAAAGGCAGCTCAGATGGGCACAGATATGTGGCATGGATGGGCACTGGCAGGTGGCATGGATGAGCACTGAGAGCTGGCACAGATGGACAGTGACAGGTGGCACTGCTGGAGCTACACAGATCATCAGGGCACACTGATCATCAGTGCTCATGTCCCCTCCGAGGAATGCAGATTACCGGCTTTCCTCTCCTCACGAGCTGTCAGCGTGACAGCTCGTGGGGAGAGAAATGCCGATAACCGTCATTTCCCTGTTTACATGTGACCAGCTGTGATTGGACATATGACGTCCTCCCAGAATGAGAGAACCACCTTAAGTCCGTCATATTACTATATGGCGGACGGGAGGCGGTTAATAAAAGACAAATAGGTATTTCACTTTGAAAGGGAAAGGGAACTTCCATCATCCAATCATATACAAGAACAGATACATCTTTATTTCCCATGCACACGATAGGGTATACTTTGAAAAGTGCAACTTCCAAACATTCATTAACCACTTACCCACCGCCCCAAAGCAGATGTACTGCTATAGGGAGGCTTCGCTGGGCAAAATCAATTAAATATACACGATTTTGCTTTTCCGGGTAGGGGGCACATGCCGCCCTGCCCGCACTGCTGTTGGCTCCATAGGATATAAATCACCAAGTCCTGTCCGGCGATTTTACACCGGGACTCGGCGATCATTGGCAAAGCTGAGAGGGGAGAGATTTGTATGTAAAACACCACAGATTTCTCCTGTCATCCTCGGCGTGCTGCTTTCTTTCTGCACAGCAGAGAGATAGAAAGGAGCAGGTCTGCTTAGTAACAGCACACAATAAAAATCACTCCCTAACAGTTAACCCTTTGATCGCTCCAAATGTTAACCCCTTCCTGCCCAGTGTCAGTGCTTTTTATTAGCACTGATCACTGTATTAGTGTCATTGTAGATGTCAGTGGCAGCTAGCCAGATCCAACCCAGTGTCAGAATGCCCGCCACAGTCCCACAATCTCATTGATCGCTGCTATACACACACACACACACACACACACACACACCGCCATTTGTAGACGCTATAACTTTAACGTAAACCAATACACACTTATTGTTTTTTTTTTTTTTTTTTTAGCAAAGACATGTATCAGAATACATTTTGGCCTAAATTTATGACGAAATTTAATTTTTTTTTTTTTTGGATATGTTTTATAGCAAAAAGTAAAAAAATTTGTTTTTTTTTTTCAAAAATGGTCAGTTTTTTTTTTTGTTTATAGCAGAAAAAATAAACGGGAGGTGATCAAATGCCACCGAAAGAAAGCTATTTGTGGGGGGGGGATACAAAATTTATTTATGTACAGCGTTGCATGACTGCACAATTGCCAGTTAAAGTAACGCAGCACTGTATCGCAAAAAATGGCCTGTCAGGAAGGGGGGGGGGGGCAAATCTTCTGGAGGGCAAGTGGTTAAGCTCTGGGGAAAACTTCCTTGCCTTGCAAAATGCACAGCCCGTTTACCTTTAGTAATTCAACCACAATCGATCTAGCACAATAAAATACTGTATAGCTATAACATTTTTGCAAGTTTTATGGTGTGAGTTTGAGGCTAAGTGTGGCTGATTTACCAACAGTAAAGAGCCTTCACTTTGCAAAGCAAATAAGGGTAAGCTGTTCTGGCTTTGGTCATCTAATCATGTGCAAACAAAAATCAGTTTATTAAAAATATTTTGGAAGTGAAAATCCACTTTGCAAAATGAAAAACAACCCGCTACTCTTAGTAATCTAGTATTGCTCAAGCAACTCATATCTACTTATCGTTATAAGCAAAATAACTGAACTAGTGCACAATGCAAGCTACTCCCTTATGGGAAAAAATAATAACTTCATCTGATCATTTACCACCAAAAAAAAAACAAAACACAAACACAAAAAAGGAAAAAGTGTGAATATTCAATTATCCAACCATGTGAACAGCTTCTGCACATGCCTGGGTATTCAATGTGAACAGGAATTTCATTTTCACATCTCTGTGAATATTCCCACAATTTTTAAGGAATGTCCTTAATACCTTTAGTAAACTAGCTTTATAATAAATCCTTGTGTAGGGATCTGCTGCCCTTTACTATTCGCTGCTAATATCAGTGTTACATATAATTATGTATCAGGAGACAGACAGAGACAAAAAATATCAGCCACATGTCCTGTCCATGCTTCCAAACTCAAGCTTGAAGGTACTATTATGGAAATGTTTCAATGTTCCAATGGTTTAAACTGTTTTGTCACATGCACATGGCAAAATAGCTAGGTCTCTGCTACTATATGTATGTAATAGGCACCTTGCTGTATATTAGTAGGTTAACCTGTATTTTAATAGATTTTATATGCAGCTCGTGTCATTTTAGTTATCCAAAAAGAGAAAGGAGTCCGCCCATCCCATGGGCAAAGCCCAGGATGAAGAGGAATGCACACTTAACTGGGATGGTGCCTGAATGGGGTTGATATGTACACTTCACACATCATATTTTTCAATAATTACTTTAGTTAAGCCTGTACTTTGTGGTCTGGGATTCTATAATTAATTTTAGTTTACGGCTCAATAACCAGCATAGGCTAGAGCCAAGTTAGACATCAGACGTCCATTTCTGGTAGTTAGCTATCTGGTTGCATGTCAGATTAGAAACTACTAGGGAAGGACTAAAGTTCAGAGTAGACAGGCTGACACTGAATTCCAGTACCACACCACAGTTCTTGCATGTGTAAAACTGCGTTCCAGACTGGTAGGCCAACACCTGGGAGGGTCTTCTCATTGCTGCAGATCTTGGGTTTAGGTCTCTGACACAAAGAAAGATGCTGCATTATGATCATCCCTTCATCTGGACTTTGCTGCAATATTCATCTGGAGGTATCTCTCTATTAATAACTATATACCCGAGTATATGTGCAGAATGCCATCAGGACACTTATTGGGCCCTTTGCTGATGATACCGGTTTGGATGTATGAACTATTAATCTTTTCTTGTATGATCTCCATACTGCTGTGTATCCATAATAAGTGCCTTGAAAAAGTGACACATAACTGAAGTGGAAGGAAAATGATAAATGGTTTTCAGAATTTTTTACGAAAAGGGTCAATACTTTGTAGAACCACCTCCTTTCGTTGCAATTACAGCTGCAAGTCTTTTTGGGCATATCTCTAGCAGCTCTACCAACTTTTTGCCCATTCTTCTTTACAAAATAGCTCAAGCTCTGTCAGATTGAACGTAGAGCATTTGTGAACAGCACTTTAAGTCTTGCCACAGATTTTCAATTGGATTTAGGTCTGGACTTTGACTGGGCCATTCTAACACACGAATATCGTTTGATCTAAACCATTCCATTGTAGCTCTGGCTGTATGTTTAGGGTCGTTGTCCTGCTGGAGAGTGAACCTCCACCCCAGTCTCAAGTCTTTTGCAGAGATTACCCTCTATTTAGCTCCATCCATCTGCCCATCGACTGACCAACTTCCCAGTGCCTGCTGAAGAAAAGCATCCCCACAACATGATGCTGCCACCACGGATTAATTTACATACACGTGTTAATTTACTAATTAGGTGACTTCTGAAGGCAATTGGTTCCATAAAATTTTAGCTAGGGGTATCAGAGTAAAGGGGGCTGAATACAAATATACGCCACACTTCAAATATTGGTTTGTAAAAACTTTGGAAAACAATTTAGCATTTTCCTTCCACTTCACAATTATGTGCCACTTTGTGTTGTTCCATCACATACAATCCCAATAAAATACATTTACAAATTTAGGTTGTAACATGACAAAATGTGAAAATTTCAAAGGGTATGAATACTTTTTCAAGGCACTAGTGTATGGCTAGCATTAGTCTAGGCCTCCCTGCCTCCTCCCTCCTGATTGGCTAGGTTGCTCTAAGCATCACAAGGCAAGTGCTCTAGGCTTGTGATAGTGTTCTTGCATCTTAGCTCCCTACCTGTACCCCT